GGACGACCGATTTGACCGACGCGACGCCCCTCCCCCGGCCTGTGAGCGGCCCGGGCAGCCCCGCGCAGCAGCGTCCGCCATCGACCCGCGAGCGCCCTGCCACAAGGGCTGGCCCAGAGGAGCCGAGGAAGTCGATCTGACATGTTCGGGCTGAAACCGCGTCGCGCGCGGCCGCGCGGCCACGCGCGCGTGTCGCACGTCCTTCGAGCCAAGCCAGCAACTGAGCAGCCCGAGGGCACCAGACGTGTACCCCGAGCCTCCGCGCCAGCCAGCACGCTGCCCGAAGCCCAAAAAGTGCTGCTCTGGCGGTCAGAGAGCATGTCGAAAAGCAGCGACTTCGCGTGCGCCTAAAAATCGAACGCAAACGGGGCTATGGTCACGGCGCACAGTTTCGGAGAGAGGACGTTCCCGGCTTTCAGGCGTACTAGCCCGTGACCATAGCCCCGTTGAATGCCGCGCGGCAGCCAAATGCAAAGAGAGGCTCTCCATGCTTCTCCCCCAATACTCTACTGAGAGTAGACTAGTACAGCTGTATGTTCTCGAGTTGTAGCTGCTCTAGTAGGCGGCGCCGCACCTGCGATCCCGATCGGCCGCCAGCCCGGGCCCGTGGCCTTTGCTTGTTGATCTATCGTAGTGCTTGCGGCCGGTGAAGAATGGTCGCGATGAAGAGAATGGTCCTAATATCGATGTTGGCAACCTGTTGCACCAGCCGAGAAACACACCTGCAGATGGCGATTAGGGCTCGAGCTAATCGTTGTCCACAGTTCAGTGTGCGACGATTGCATCTTTTCACACACACGATGCGTGGAGGGGGCGTGGACCTACCGAAGTGTGTATTGAGAAGGTCACTGGAGAAAGCCTTTGCGGGCGGCTTGACCGGATCCGTTGCGGGCGTTGCGCAGGTGCTGACCTTCATGTGGCTGCGAACAGCAATGAATTATCAATATCGTCATGGTGGAAACTTGCGGACAGTACTGCCCCTTCTTTGGGGTGAGGGTGGCATCCGCCGTTTATATCGTGGACTCCCATTCGCTATCGTGCAGGGACCGCTATCTCGATTTGGTTCTGCTGCTGCGAACACATTAGTGCTCGGGCTCCGTGATGCAGACTTATTTGGGTTAGGTGCATATCCTGTCTATGTGGTAACTTTTATAGGTTCCCTCCTCACCGCCATTTATCGATGTTTGATTATGCCAATTGACACGCTCAAGACGGTGTCACAGGTGGATGGACGCGTTGGGTTCGACGCTGTTATACGGCGTGCATTCAAGCATCGCAACCCTTCGGTACTCTATACTGGCGCTTATGCAATGGCAGCTTCGACACTAGTAGGCCACTATCCTTGGTTCTTAACTTTTAACATTCTAAACAGCCTCTACCCGAAGCATGATCGGGCCTTGTACAACTCGGTCCGCCTTGTATTGATTGGCTTCTTCTCTTCTTTAGTTTCTGATGTCGCATCCAATCCTGTTCGCGTAATAAAGACCACGAAGCAGTCTTCGGTCGCTCAAATTTCAATCAACAGCGAAATGCCTAGATCGAACAGATGTGCAGGTATAGACTCTACATATGTCGAGTTGATCAAGGAGATAACCCAGAGAGATGGTCCTAGAGCCCTGTTCACTCGTGGGCTTTCCACTCGCATATTGGCAAACGGCCTCCAGTCCATCGTCTTTACAGTTATCTGGCGCGTTCTTCTTGAATAACGAAGACCAGATAGACCCCTGTAGCAGTTTCACGAAACAAGATTGCAGTACCACTCCGCATCACCATGTCATTTGACATTCTGTGCTCTCAACACCTTGTTTTGACTTATGCTCTCAACTTGAGGTGGTCGTCGACCAGGAGACTCCGCTGGAAGGCTCTGGGCGCTATGAAGCTAATTTGATCGCGCCTCTACCACGACAGAAAAACAGTGTGGGGGGGGGGGGCTTTATAGTCCAAGCACCTGCCCATTGTAACATATCCCGCCGGTGGGATGTGCTAAACGCCGCTTCAACTTGGACCTCAACCTCAAACCCTGCACTTCAACAGGGACCTCAACACAGCCGCCTGCCCTTCAAAAGGGACCTCAACACCGCCGCTCACGCCTTGCGGCGGACCTCTGACGCGCCGCCCACGCCTTAGAGTGCGCGACCCGCCCCAAGCCACGTGCCAGAAGCCCTCCAGGAGCCCCCCAGAAGCCGGAGCCCTCCAGAAGCCCTCCAGAACCCTTCTAGAACTCTTCCGCGGACCCGAAATACCCCAAATCCCTCAGGATTTTGCGATTTCAATTTCCCCCGCTGCCTCGCCCTAGTAAACTGCCCTTTAAGCTCCCTGAAAGTCGCAAGATGCTGTTTTAAAGGCAACGAGCGCGCGATGGAGCACCACAAACGGCCGCGTTTGAACACACTGTGTGACAGTACGTTGAAGTGCAATGAAGTCCCCGAAGCGCCGAAGCGGCGTGGATCATCGTCACCCCAAAACCAGAAACACATCGTGCCGAGCACAACGCAAATCCTCAGTTTGGTAAGGAACTAGGGTAAGCTTTGGATCTATATATTTCTTACTGGCCATGAACGCGACGAAGCGAGTGGACAGAAACTCTCTATGTGCTTTAATCACACTCGCGTTCTGAGAGCGATATTCGCCGCTTTATCAAGAGGGGGGCGCCTTCGGCCAAGGGTACTGCCTAGCTCTTCCTACGGTATCGGACAGCCCTATGGTCGCTGTGCTTTCGGCCTTGTTTGGCGCTCTACCATGCTCGAATTAAGGCATGCAGCCATCTGGAGCCCACCGAGCAAGCAACGCCAGACGACTGCCATGATGGGCCGGATGCACATGTGGTGATGGTACTGCGCTATACATGGATGATATGACCCAAACTTCCTGAATCTGTGGCTCGTCAGCTGTGAGCACCATTGGGCTTGCTAGGGCTACCCACAGGCAACCATCGAAATCAGATATGTTCGTCCGTACTCAACAGCAAGGCAACCCCGGCAACAACCCATTTTAGAGCGGCCTCTTTGGTATCCAATGTCGCAAGGAATACATATGTAGGACCACGGAAGCTGGTAGAGTAGCAGGGGCAATTGTATATATCAGGTCTCAGGTATCCAATCGAAGTTGGTTCCCAATTCAGTTCAACGGAGACCGCCTTGATATACAACACTGGCATTTTGGGCAGAAGTTCTTTGGAGCGGCTCTCTACAATTACACCAGCACATTCAACGCCAGAGACAGACTTAACATGGCCCGCCGAGCTTGCTTCATCGACGGGCATCCATCGAGCGCCTTGCATGTACAGGCCATGGATAAAAGCCCCGTCAGGTGGTCTCTTGTCCACGAGGACCTCCAGATCATCTGGGCGGCGGTATGTCGTAACATTTGTTTCCGTCGTCATGTTGTCGAGTGGAAGATTCTTCTTCCGAGCAACTACCTGCTGTATCGCAGTCAGAAAGGCAGTGGGGTTGAACAGGGCCAGCCACAAAGAAGTGGGCAATTCAAGCTTTGCCTCCCAAGTGACGAGTTGTTCTATACGTTGCTCCAAGTCATGAAACCAGTGTTGTAGGTTTTTCCTGCTTGGCCAGGCAAGCTTCTCCCACGATGCCAAATGAAATGGATTGCGCCCAGGCACTTCATTCAGAGATAGGGCGGAGGCCAGGTCTTCCATCTGCTGGGACATGTTCAGCTGTCCGTTTAGTCCCTTGCGCAGCTCGCCAAGGCTGCGTGCAATTTCTTCTACAAGACTGTTCATCCGCACCACTTCCTGCGTAGCGACGACGACATACGGAGCCAGAGGCTCGGTCAAGAGCGGCTTTGCCTTGTCTTGAACGGATGGCAAATTAAACCGACCCGGTAGTCTCTGCTCTAGCGAATCTAGGACCTCTCCCACACCACCACCATTCTCACCGCGGTTGTCGACGGTAGCGGCCCCACCTTGACGCAGGCGCAGCACTATCCCCAAAATACTCTCGGCAGTGGAAGTCAGGTATCCAATTTCTGCATTTGGGTGCAGCCCAAAAAGGACGGGAGTCTCAGAGGGTAGTGACTGGTCTATGTGGGCAACATAACCCTGATGATCTAATGTTCCACTGGCAGAGGGGAATCCTGGCGCAAGTTCCGCCCCGGGCTTGAGTAATTGTTCGTTGAACAGCGCAGACAAGTAGGAAACGTTCGTCCGGCGATCCCAGAAGTCGGTTATGTGACCGCCGTACATAATTTCGCCGAAAATGTATCGAAGATCATCCCATGGCACTGAGACACCCCGTCCGTCACTCCCTTCCGGTGCTTTGTCCATGTAACTGGTCAGCACATTGGCACAAATCTTAAGATCACCTGTATTGAAACCATATGAACGGCTCCAGCCCTGTTGTCCAAATCTGCGACGGCCAAGAATAAGAGCATGGAAAAAACTAAGCCCAAACAAGCATCGACGGAACTCGGCTGTGTGGTGGCATGCATCAAGTTGGTCTTGAGAAAAGCATGCCCACGCACGCTGCAAATTTGACTTGAGATCTGCCGGGGCCTCATTAGCAACTTTGATGCAGGTTTGCAACAGGCTCTCGGGGAGATTAGAAAGATGCGGAAGTGGGGGAGGTTCTGCGCTGAGGAAGCAGCGGAAATTCATGGCGGCCGTCTCACTTGCAAGCTCGAGTTTACGTTCCAGCTTTGGTAGCCACGACTCCATCAACTGTATATTTTGAAGCATAACCCAGCCGCCCTGTCTCGCCATTCGATCAAGTGTTGCTTCTGCGGGAGTTTCTTGACCTTGACCCATGGAAATATTGCTCAGTGTGCCTTTTTGAACGCTTATGTCGAAGCCAAATCCGAGTGACTCTACCCAGGGAGTTGGGTCAACACCTGGGAACAACACAAAGAAAATAGGCGTTGACGCTGAACTTTCCATATATGCGCTTAGCATGTTAAACGCTTGAGGCTGCGAGAAGGAAGGACCAAGCTGATTTGCTACGTAGGCTCGAAGTGCTGCGGGTATTCTGTCGGTTCGCATGGCGCGAAGTATGAGAAGGCGCGCCAAACCAGACAGCGATTTCAAGTTTCCCGGGAATGGTTGCGTTTCAGGTTCTGAGTGCTCATACCAGTCGTGCCACTCGTCAGGTTCACTGTTCACCTGGTCTCCCAGGTCTGCAAGTGCATCCAGACCAAGACCGTCTGCGGCTCCATCTTCAAGCCCCTTTAATTGTGCCCAGATTCTTTCAGGAAGCCAAGCTGCGACGTCTTCCGCCATACCTGCGGGTTCTAGAGCCTCTTTGGGAGAAAGCAAGCGAAGTAGCTGAGCCGTGTTCAGGTTCCCCGATGTGTCCGCCACCGCAAATGCAAGAAGCGTGGCCACTGTGAGTTGGTCGCGAGCAAAGACTCCACGCTCGATGTATCTAAAAAGGACGGTAGTAATAGAAATCGCAAGACTCGCACAGCGCTTCTCGAATTCATCCGGAGAGAGGTCGTTCTTTTCTTCAATGTTTTTCTTTTGCAGCATTTGAGTGCTCAGCGCGAGAAGATCTTGCTGCCCTGCTAAGGAGGACTGTCGAAGTAAATCTTCGTTCCAATTGAATCTTTGCATCTGGATTATCTTCGTAGTCGCGGCCTTGAGCTTGGAAAGCATGGTCTTAGGCTTTTTTGCCACTTTCGCTTTCCGCTCAGCTTCGTGAACAAGCTCGATGCCGTGCTGAAACATCACAACAAATGCATTCAAACTGTAGATGTAATACCTATGACAGGTGGGGTGATCGGGCGACCGAGGTTCTGCGACAAAGGTAGCTCAGCCAAGCACGTATGGATGCGATGCAAGGAGTTCATTAAAAAGAAAATTGTGGCTCCACGCTTGGCAACCCCACGGTAGCGCTCGGCCGTCTCATTTATAGACGTAGTTATCTGTTTCCCTTCTTCGAGCCGTGCGGATGCATCCAAACTTTGCTGTTTGGCACTTTCCAGGCCTTCAATGAGTGCGCGGTCTTCGGTAATATCGCCCTCCGCTGTGCTCAACTTGACAAGAATATCGTCTTCGAGCTGTTTGATTCTGACCTTAAACTCATTTCCCTGGTGTATTACCGCTGCCTTTCTAGCAGCAAGATCAGGTCGCTCCTTGCGGATCACGAGGCTTAACAACTGATCTTCGAGCCCAAGAGGGGTCACAGTAAAGTTTACGAGAGTCAATTCGGCTTGTAGCTCCGGGGGATAGTGCCTGGATGCAACTATTTATTTAATTAGGAGCAACACATGAGTTACAAAGCTGCAACCCTAACTAGCGTACACTGGTTTGTCACGGATTTGAGAGTTTCGTGTGAAGAATAAGTCGAAAGCCCTGAGTATACTCAGTTTCATCATCTCCAAGGGCAATGAACTCGCGGCCACTTTTCTTGAGTACGGCCCTTTGTAATACCGGCAACAGGACGGCATCTACGCGCTCCCCCATATTCTCGATGAGAACTGATGTTCCTCCCGCCATGGCTGCACGTAGGCCAGGCAAAAGCTCAGACTGGCCGAGCCGCTGCACGCGCAAACGACCGACCTCGCGTGTCTTGATCCACGCAACCCCCTGGAGTTGCGGGTCGATCATGAGCGGCCAGCGCTTAGAGCTCGTCACTATCGCGCCATTTTCCGACGACACAGGATCACGAGGTAGCCCTTCCGTGTTCCATCCTGCTACCTCTGCTTCCGCTGCAATGAGCGTCACGACAGTAGTCGTAGTATCGAGCTGGCGCATGGGCACAGCTCCCCCGGCGACAGCTGACCGAAGATACGGCGTCCAGGATTCTTCTAGGAGCGCGTTGCGAAATGCCTTATTGAACGGACCACCTAAGTCGAGTGCTATGAATATACGTGGACATTGTCATGTCTAAGTGCAAATTTTGTCCATCGCACTGCGTTTCGCAATACCTAAGCTCAATTGCGGGTGCACATGTTGTGTATGCCCCGTCAGATGCTCAGGGAAGGGTGGGGGGGGGGGGATTTCAACTTAGACGCTTGGAAATACGAAATGAACGCGGCAGCCACCAATGCATCTCCGACAAGAGGCTCTTGCTCGAATCGAAGGCGCTCAACCCCATTTACCCACCTCACTTCTTCAGACCCAAGCGCATTGATCAGGCGCTGTGCCAATTCCAATTTGAGTTGGCCTCGCTCGGCAGTGTCCACTGCCTCTCGCTTGTCGGTCTCTGCTTGCTCATACTCCGCCGTTAGCTGGTCAAGCTGCGCCTGAAGCTCATCGACTCGTTCCCGCACAACGGCAAGCTCCGCATTTGCGCTCTCCAATTGCCGAGTCGATTCTACAACCTTCGTGCGCTTTGGTTCGACATCAAGCCAGATATCGTAGTAGGTGACTATGTTTTTTACCCAACCTACAAGACCAGCAGCTGCTGAGTTCTTTTTGTTCATGGCTTCTTCATTGAAGTGCTCCAGTAAAAGATATGGCCGTACTTCCTGAAAATTGACCTTGGGAACACAATCCTGGTCTATTAGACTCTTAAATTTCTTGAGCTCGTCAAGAAGTCCATTGACATTGCCAAGCAATGATTTTTTGCATGCGTCCCAGCTTCGGTCTTTGTCCTTGACTTTCCCGCTACGTTGCACCAGCACGCTCTGGTTGATTCCAGCGAGTAAGACGCAGACAGCGCTGAACACGTCGCCAACACCCTTGGGCGGCGTCGCCATTGTCTTACAACTGCCGAGGTCTCTTCGATCCAACGTATCAAGCGCAGCAGTCGCCGCTTGGATTGCCGGTTCTGCCGCAACCAAATCACGTTCCGCGTCTTCATTTTGACGTTGCACCTCAGCTTGAATTGTTGCTACCTTGCCGGCTTCTTCATTCGCCTTATCAGTCTCACGCTCAACGACCATCTTCTCTGATGCGACTCGAGCCGCAATTGCTTCGCTGTGTTCGCGTTTCTCATCAGCGGCCTGGACCATGATTGTAAGTTCTTGCTCAAGAGTGCCAACAGCAGAAGCCGCATCCCTTAGGCGCGAGATGCCGTTCTCGAGGCGCACGGTTGCAGTCGTGTTTTCTTCACGTCGACGATGGAGTAAAGTCTGATAAAGTCCGAGCATCTCGAGATAGCTCTTCGGTGTCAAATACACGAACCTTCCCTCCTCTAGCTGGTAGCGAGCAGCAGCTTGGCTTGCCATCTCGAAACTCAAAGGCATGAATTTCTCAATAGCGGCACGCAGTACCGGGGACTTGAACTCTATCTCGGAGAGTTGCTTTTCTGCGACTGATTCCAGAGCGTCGGTTGGCCACGGCTGGAACCAGTCAATTGTCGTGCAGTTCACCAGGGCGGGAAATCGCTTTGCATACGTTCCAAAATCAGGACCCACGGGCGAGAAGCAGATCACCACATGGAGATTTGCACGAACTTGTGCGAGAAAAAATTGCCAGCAGGCTGCCGCGTCTGTTGAAACGCCAGCCGCCTTCGCCTTTCCTTCGACAAGCGACGAAACATTGTCTCTCTCGTCTTTGCTGTACAGCTCAGGGATATTTCCCGATGCGAGGAGGTCATTGAGGTAGACGAGAAACCTTTCGTTTGTCACCTGCGAATCAGTGAACAGAAACACTACGCCCTCCTGCTTGATGCCTGCACGCGCAAACATATTCTGCAGGTCCATTTTGAATTCCCCGAGGCCATAAGTCGATGTGATACAAATGCGCATCAGCACATGGTTACATACATGCGCCGCGAGACGAGCAAGACTCTGCTTGCCGCTACCACCCACGCCAACGAGCAGAGCATGTCCCGCAGGCTGGAGTACCACACGCGTGATGCGGGCCACGTGCAAAAGAGCATCTCGAAACAGGACCAGGTCCATCGTAGGATGAAATTCATTGTATTCGTTCAGGGCGCGTTCGAAGCAGTTACGCAAGACTTTCGTGTCCTCTACCATTCCGTAGGCCGGTTCGTCAAGAGTCGCACTATCTCTGACGTGACAAAAGCAAAGTGGTGTAGAACCGAGAGCAGCCGCCTGCTCGCCAAAGAAATGAGCCGTTCCGATAGTCGGAAACGCTTTTTTGGCTGATGTCTGGAGGATATATTTGAATCGCGAGAGGTCAGCTTCGCAAACAAGTCGATCGCCGTATGTACGTTCAGATTCATGAACCCACAAGAACACGAGTCGTTCAGGCATGTCAAACTGGGCAACTTGAGGACGCGCGAGGAGCAGACCTCGAAACACGCTTGCCAGATGTCGCCTGTGTCATCGCATGACGTTAGAATAAAGAAGCTCGATGGCGATAACGACTTTTTGGTTTAATTCAATAGAAGACTACACGAGAATGTACGCAGATTCGCACACGTTGAACCTGTGAATGATAGACTTACAAACGCGTGGGGTCACGACAGTTGGACGAGGCGACAGTACTCATAGTGAAAATTTTTTGCAGTTTTCCGAAAGCTGTCGTGAACCTCTTTTTGAACAGCAAGCGCCCCCTTAATGAGATTTGACGCCAAATTACAAACGGCAGCGGGAAATCCTTCGTTCTTCAAATGACCATCCAAGAATGTTTGGAATATTGTCAAAAGGCTCGTCGCACTGGGCATGCCCACTGCGAACGTTGAAAAGTGTCGCTGGAGCCTTGGGTTGACCAGAAACGAACCAGCTGTTGGGTTCATACACGCAACGTATTGGCAATCGACGACAGTTTTCAGGGTGAGCTTGTTTGGGTCGTACCAGCTGGCATAGTCAAGGTGCTGGCGCATCAAAGCAATCGCGGACTGCGTGTCGTACTTGTCGAGCTGCCTGTTTTTTGAATCACAATATATTCTTGCCCGCTATGTTTGGCATTTGACTGCTAGCTTCATATATAAGGTAAACAAGCAGAACCACACCAGATGACAAGTAAACACTCTTTTTTCTCGTCGAACAAGCTACTTACGGCAAATTCAAATCATCTGCGCGCGTGGGGGGGGGGGGCTTGTAACAATTAGATTTTCGGTCGGGAACGCACCGATGAAGTAAATGAGGCGTGTTGAACCTGGAGGCCCGAAGGTCGACCCAGTGCGCTTTTGCAGGGGTGCTTCCAGCGAACCGAGCAAAACAGTTGCGGTACTGTAATAGTTTAAATTGATGCCAATACTAATGAACTCAGCGGGGGGGAGCTCACGTAGCATCCCGGCAATAAGCTGGGTCTTGCCAGTGCCTATCATGCAAGGAATCTTTGTATACACGAGGAATTGCAGGCTAAAGGGTTGGATTAGGATGCAAGGCGCGGCCTGCAATATCGCAGTGCTATCTAAAAGGACCACTAGGGCCTGCAAGCAAGATCGGCCGACGTCGGCGCACGAGCAAGTCCATCCAGTGGGATATACTTGCTGTTTCAGTAGTAGGTACCGTCACTTGGTCCATTTTCATGATTCGGGAGTCGAACTCGACAGTGTGAAACGAAGGGCTTTGGCGCCAAGGTTCGAACTTGTTCGAGGCCGGTTCGAGCCAGTAGTCAAAGACTGTGTCTCGCGTCGGGAGCCGGACTTGCTTAAACTGACTCTTCCACCAGTCGCTGAAAAGTTTCTTGTTATCGGACCCGTCATCTGTCATAGTTAGAGCGGAGCCGAACGCCCACACAGCGCAGAAAACAAATGTCGTTTCTAATTTGAACTTGTCATTGGCAATCTCAGAAACTACTACCCCTTCCAACATCTGCAGAAGCCCGGATATTAGCGCCATATCTTCAACGGGCACGACAGCTTTAACATTCTGATGCAAATATTCCAAGGTGACACGCACATATTTTTGAAAGAGCTCAGTAATGACCTATGTGGCGGGGCAATCCTCAACCTCGGGGGCCCATTCACCTCTAGAGGCATGTGCTTTTTTTGCGCGCTCCGAGACTTGCCGCCTTACTTTGATCCGAGTATACTTCTTCGGGCTGCGATTGTACCCATGAGGCAATTATGGAGTGCCACAAACTGCCGTCGTCGGTGCTAATGTAGATGATTCCCGCACGACTAACCGTCGCTGGTGTGGCAAAGCGAAGATCTCGGATCTCAAAGAGCATGCGCATGTGCGGCTTCAAGGGGATGCGCTCATTCGAGGCCAGGGTGAGCATTTTGTTGTCATCCATAACCTGAGCAGGCTTGCTTGTTTAGCCGCTTTCTTTGCTGGGCGGATGTTGAATAGACCTTTACCATAGCTGGAAACATGAAGCAGACACTGTAACTTGCTGAGTTCATGGACTCAATCCAATTAGCATCGAGATCGCCTACGAAAGCCGAGGCAGTCTCGCGGCGCGTCAAAATGGGGATGGGCAAACATCCGGCAATGGGAAATCTGCAGGCGGAGACCAAAAGGATAGTGAAACAGGATTCAATTTTAAATCGCGATGAATCGAATAAGGCGACAATAGTGGCAAAAAGCTTGCAAGCAAATTAATTTGGAAGGACACGCAGCAACGCACCATCGAGAACTATCCTAAGAAGGTCAAGGAGAGCTTATGTGAGAAAGGAGCTGGCGGGAGGCTCACGTACCATTTGGGCTTGTCATCTTCTATTTGGCCGAGGTCTCGCATGATCGAGCTCAGGAGACCGTCTTTCCACTCACGTGATTGGAGTGCAATGTGACCATATAAATCTTCAGTGGGCAGCACTTTGGGATTTAGGTGGGCGACCCGAACTTTGCGCTGTGGATCCTTGTTGCCTCGTGCGCGGGACAGCGTCTTCCAACATGTTGACTTTCCAGCACCTGCCGGTCCCATGACAAAAACGCAGTGTCTAATCGCCAAGAGCTCATCGAGTTGTGCAACTTTGAGCGTGAATTGTTGGTCAGGCCAAAGACCGGAATCTTCGGTGGCTTTTATAATGCATCGGGTGAGACTTACATCCACCACTCTTGGAGGATCTACACCAGGGAATAGGTCATTCAGCAAGCCTACAGCATGCCTTGGTCCGGGATTTTATCATCGTTATTCAACCCACCAAAAAATACGACCTCATCTTGCTGAACAATCTTAGGTATATTAAAATCACGAAGTGCGCGCATGAGCAGCTGTTCCTCCGGCAGCCCTGGTTCAGCTCTCTTGAGGTGGCCTGCTACCACGAGGACCGATTTCACCGCACGCAGACCCCAATCATAATGCCTGTTTGACAAACAATAGGTTTTAAGGAATCAAATATTTTGAACTAATATTTTGAACTAAAAGAGTAAGGATGAGACTGGCTGTACTGCATGGCTTGTAAGTAAACTTCCACTCCCAGGGAAACAAACACGATACTAGACGTTGCCCGGTTACGACTGTTTAGAAAGTAAGTCACGGAGTAGTGAATACAGGCCGTAAAATTTAGATGCGAGACTTCGGGCTGCGACATAGCCCTCGGCCATGAGCATATTCTCACCTGAGATCAGTCATATCAATGATGATCTGCTAGCTTGGAGATTGATAAAGATGATAAGATAACCAAGAAGCCATGATTTGGAGGCTTTGCAGACACAGATGATCGCAAATAAGAACAAGATCCGGTACCTAGATATTTACATTCATTACATTGCATTTACAAGCATGGCAGGTCAACCCGCGGAGGACACACGCGATTACCATTACTGTCATGGGACGGAAAAGTGCCTTCAGGCCTTCGGGCAGCTCCGACCGACCCAAGTAACCCTACAAAGCAGGCATGGGCAAGTGTAGTGCAGGAACCAAGAACGTACAGGATTCATTGTTATAAACGCTCCGCAAGTTGGATCAAGATTAACTTGATCACCCTCTATAATGACGTGGTGCGTTGTTAGCTGATCGTTATCATAACGTGCAGTGCCATCACAAACTGCCTTGAACTGCACGGTGCACACGGATAGAACCTCGGGGATAAGTCGATTGAATTCATCAAAGCAACCCCATGAGCCACTGGCAGCTAAGCCTTTGAAGATATTACCAAGGGATTGATAATCCATTTCTGGCGAGCCTAGGGATAAAAAGCTGTTATGTTTCCAGGCAGAAATCTTCAGTCGCTGTTCCATGTGGCTCACAATTGAACACGTAGCAACATTTCCCCAGGGCCGATGCAAGATCTTTTGTCGTCTCGGTTTTACCTGAATGAGCTCAGCTTGGTGACGCGCCATCTCCAAGACAGGAGCCTGTTCCCTCCAGACACTCACCAGTTCCTGCAGGTCCAGCCGGGGCGCATCCCATTTTTAGATGGAGAGCTTGCGTTGCGGTCACATAAAAGCGGTCCGTCAGAGGGGTAACTACGAGCCGAGAACCGTTACCGAGATACTCCAGACCATAGTCGAAGCCTGCGATGTTATTTGAGAATCATGAGAACAGCCTTTCGGAAAGAGGTGCTACACACTGCCCGCCTTGAAGGCAACTCCGCATGTACGTGCGTCGCAAACATGCACTTCAGTTAGAGCCACCACGAGACCGGCTTCTTCCTTCTCGACAAAACGTTGTTTTAGCTGCGATTGCCACTGAAACTCACTTTTTCGGAGGGCCTTTTCCCTCAGTAATTTGCCAAGCACATCGCGTGTGTGTGCATCCATGGTGATCAGACACATGACACGCTGGCGCTCACCGCCCTTGAGGTTTGTTTGTGTCAACCTCACCAGGTCGACAAGATCCTGCCGTTGTCTATCTGCATACACTTGCAGGGCGTTAGCCTCGCCTTGCTCGATCGAGTCCATTGCATCTTCTACTCCTAGAACTGACTGAATTCCCGCTACCAAAAGCGCAATTTGAGCCGGATCCGAAGATTGGCCGTCTGCATTTGCATCCAGAAACCACTCAGTTCGTGGTCGCAGAGGGTATCTCTTGCGTGATCTCTCGAGATTCTTCTGAAGAGTCTCCACCTGTGCTGTGAGGATGGTTTGTAAATAGACTTCTACCTTGCCCTCCAGTGGCACGGCAGGTTCAAAATCGACTTGTTCCTCTCCAATACCAGACACGAAGATAGTGGCACGAGGCCGACTATCTGGGACGTTCTCGAGTTGCAGCCGGGCTGTTGCGAGAAGCACCTTATCTATATGTCGCATTACTTTGTGAGGGGAAGACCCATTTGAAAGAATGTCTAGCAGGTCCGCTTCACCTGCACATACATTACCATTGACGTATTTCAAGGTCACAAAAGCAGCATGGAACACTCGGGATTTGCTGGTGAAGTAAAACCTACAGACAAAGCGCGGAGATGTGGAAGCTGAGAGATAACAAGGGGGGGTGCATTCATTTTACACTAATACAGACGTCGACGACATACCGAGGGAAGATGCGACGCTTCCCCGCCAAAAAGTCGGCCAGGGCCTTCTTACAGACATCTTGGTCCGTGTTCATACTTTCGAGACGTTGCAAGAGGCCCGATTGTTGGCAGGCTTGCTTGACATTCCGAATTTCGGCCATATTTTTGAGGATCGTCCGTACCTGTTGGTCTATCGATGCAAAACGCACCGCTTCTTCTGGAAGCTCACGTTTTACTTCGTCGGACCCGATGAAGAGCGGCTCTAGGTAGGACCAAGTCCGCTGTATATCAGCGAGCATTTGAACAACATCAGATACCGCCACCAGGGCTCGCTGCCATTCAACAGCCTGGGGCTTGAAGTAATCATATCGGCTTGCGACCATGCCTTGCAAGGCTAGTTGATCAGACTCGAGTTGATCGGTATCTTCTTCTGCTATTTTTAATAACGGTACGTCTGTCTGCTTATAGTATGTCATTTTGAAACAGACCGCATCCCATGTAGCAGAGAGTCCTCGAAGCGTTTCTTCATGCGCTGCCTCGCGGGCTGCCTTGTCAGTTATATCGCCAACCGCAGTCGCCTGGAGATGAAGATCCAGGCTCAAAAGATTTCGCAGCTTCAATCCCACGACGGCACTCGGCATGGATAACTCTGCGCCTCGCTCACCTGTGATTCTTCTTAGCTCGTCCCAGTGACGCTCGCGCATGGTTGGCTGCCGCAAGCTAGCTACAAGCGGGCAGGTCATTAAAAACTCTTTAGAAGAACGTTCTAAGCCACGATAGGCGTCGGAATCTTTTACCACGAGAGGCTGTTGCTTCACCTTGGTTAATATCAGTTTAGCATTTTCCTCCAGTCCGTTGGCATCGAGATCTTCCCACGTAAGCTCACTAGCCTCCTCAATATAGGCACTGCACTCGCCAGCACACGCCCAGAGGCCCCGATAATTGCTCAGTGTGTTTCCAGCCGAGCTGAGCAAATCAGTAGAAGCAGCAATGTCGGCTGGACACTCGAACATGTTAGCGAGGTGGATCATATCCTTGCACCGGATCTCCTCTTTCTCGTAACCGTCCGTCATAGTAGCTAAAAGTTCCAGAGCCTTAGTGACACCAGTAGCGTACACTCTGAATGGTGCTGAGTCAACCTCTTCAAGAAACTTTCGCACTGTCGCCTCATAACTCTGGATGTCGCTCTTTGTTCTGGCACCCTGTGCTTTGACTAGGGGGGCTATCTTCAGGGCGATAGATGGTGCTTCTCGTTGAGATTCGTCCCAGGATGTGCGGTGCGATTCCAGGACTTTTTCTTGCGGTCCATTGTTAATACCCTGTGCCTTCAAGTACGAAAGAATGCAATCCATGCGATCTATCAAGAGATCGGTTTCAGCTTTTTTATCATGAACCATGTTGAGATGCTCTTTGACTGAAACAAGCGCATTCCGATTCTGTAAATCGGTCCAACTATCGTCTCGAGGTTTTGCACGAACCCCCTGTCCAACAGTTTTCACAAAACTAGCGAGAGATTCGATGTCTCGCTGCAGGGCCGCGGCCACAAGCTTGCCTGTCATGGCATTGTTCGATCTAGGAACAAATTCTTCAAAACGTGGGATAACTCCACTACCTCGCACAGGACCCGCAGGGCCGCCGAACGTCCCAAGAAATTCAACTTCGATAGCATATGATCCAGGCGACGGGGCAGTAAAGCTTACATGATAGGTTCCGTCATCCCGGTCGCGCAGTTGCACGCCACTGCGCAGCTGGATATCTTCACCGTCTTCACCGCCGCCCAGCATGCGGATAAGTATGTTGAATTCATCACCTCCCGTTGTTCGATTCATGTTTAAGTTATCCCGCGCTTGGATGACAAACATAGTCTCTTCGTTACAGGCACCGCCACTGAGCAATCCTGGACCAAAAATTAGAGACTGGTGTGCATTTGTCACAGCAAAAAAAGTATAAACTTGCGACGTGGTGGTGAAGCTATCGTTATTCAACGCGACACGAACCTCGACTTCACCGGCAGGATAGGAACTAAAGTCCGGCGTTGCACAAACAAGTTGTGTGCTGCTGATGAACTCACCCTGTACGTCCACCGTCCCTCTTTTTGAAGAAAATCGCACAATGACGTCCTTCGTGTTCACAAAGTCTATCCCTGTGATTTGCAAAGGCGTGGACCCGGTTACAGGCCCAATGCTAGGATGAAGGTCCATAATTGCATACGGCGGACCAACAACGTGAGCGACATCGAGCGTGAATACGTCACCAAGCCACTCATTCGCCCACCCACCAAAGAGGACGAGTTTAGATGACTTGCTATCATAAGCGAGGACAGTATCACCGCGGGGTTTGGGCTGATCATCGCCCCCGACTTCGGGGTAACTCCATCGGTTTAGGCCTGCATCGAGTACGGAAACGTTACCATAGGGGATGCCCTGTCGATTCTTACTGTCATCCAACGGTCCTTCAAGGCCACCATACGCAAATACTTTCCACGAGGGAATTGCCATGACCGAACAGGCAGCAAAGTTCCAGCGGGGAGCGGGGAGGGAATTCTCGACGTAGGACCACACAGGTGGATCGAGGCCGTTGTCGAGTATGTGGAGATCATCGAATTGTTGCGAGGCGTTCCAACCCCCGAAAACAAACAAAGAAGTCTCAACTGCGCACGCTTGGTGACCAGAGCGTCTGTCAGGCCCACGGCCCTTGGCCGACACTCTGGACCATGCCCAGCGATCGACGTCCAGGCAGTGAAGATCATCGAGGTCGCGTCGTGCATAACCTGAGAAATCAAAATCGATGGACAGCGGTCGGATCATTGGATAGTCAGCTCAAAAGCGCAGTCGGACTCCAAAAAGGCACCATGCCCGCCGTAACCTCCAAACACGAACATCGAACGACCGATAAAAGTAGCTGTATGACCACCCCGAGGAGCAGGAAGACCTAATAGAATTATTGATTCGTCCTCCACGTTGGAAGAAAAAGCAAACCTGGCCAAGTAGTAGCTTGGGGATGGCTGCCGTTGGCCATGAAACCTGGACCTTGAGTGGAATGGGGCTGTTGCCACTCCATCGCCACGGTGTTGAAAACCCAGACATCTGAGAGTCTCAATGATGCCGTATGATACCCGCCAAAAATGATAATTTGTGTGCCGTCAAACACGCAGGCAGAATGACGCCACCGTGCCAGGGGACGTGTATCTTCTGGCAGTTGCAGTATACACCACTCTAATTCGGACTTGCCCATCCTGAGGATATGTAGCTCGTCGAGGGGCCGCGCTACCTTTTCACCAATAGGCCCATTACTCAGTCCACCAAACAAGAAACCTGTGTTACCAATGACGGAGAGCGTGTGGCCCGAGCGCGCGCACGGAATATTTGTAGGGTCATCATTACTTGCAAGACAACGCGGGCGTTTCCATTGAATTTTCGCCGCAGAATTTTCCGTCAGAACCATCGCAAAACTCTTCAAAATCGACTTCTTGACATGACATAGATTAACGCCCCTGCGCCCTTCCTTCCCGTCCACTTAATAATTATTGGAAATTAAGCTTAGATCTAGCTAAGCCCTTAAAAGGGAAGACGGAATTGCTTGCAAGCCTCTGGAGGTGGAGAACAAATAATGAGCGACCAATATCCCAACTAGGATTACAGGCTCCTGTGATACTCTCCTCCCTTCCCCGTCTTCGTACATTATAAGAACTCCGCTGGCAGTTTGTCTGTGCGGTACCGTGCCCGAGTCTACGAGACTCGGAGTAGCCTTCTCAGAGGCTCAAGCTTCTCAAGTCAGTTCTAGCACCCACTTAGACTGCCCTTAACCGGCTGATTATGGGCCCACAGTGAACTAGTTAAGAAAGAGTAACCGCGCCCCATAGGCGACGCGAGTTGGGCCCGGCCCCAACACGAAACAAAAATGCCTAGCAGCAGGGTCTAGGGCCCCGCCGGAGTCCGGGATACTCTCATATTCCTCTAACTAGAGAAAACTCTCTACTCCGATCCCATTAGCCCCCGGGCTAGAGTAGGGAGTCTGCCTAATTATTACCATACCCTAGTCCCAGAGTCAGGGCTGAGGGTAAAGTTCCTTTATATTAGAGAGATAATGAGATTCCTACCGCCGGGACGCCCGCGGGACCCCGCGGGAACCTCGCAGGACTTTACTCAGGACCGGCGGGTCTGCAACCCGCGGTCGGGCCACTCCTCAGGCGGGCCCTTTAGTTTGCTATCTCGCTAGGAGGCGGCGTTGCTAGCATGCTAGCATGCTAGCACTCGGCGGGCTGTTGGCGAAGCTGCTGGCGATGCCTCGCGCTTGACCAAGGGTTCATTTAGTGTAGCTTCGTAGCAGCATATTTCTCTGATCAGTGACAGACTTAATTTGATGATCAAAAAGTGTCGCCTGGAAGATTGCAATGGCAGTTGAGAGGTTACATTTGTTTGCATTGAGGGTACATTCTTCGGCTTCCTTCGCAAGCAAGGCGGCCGCCTCGTGGTCCCTCCCAAGATCCAGGGCAATGTCATAGATGGCTCGCGTAGTAATGACGCCATCCCCGTTGATGTCACTTACTCCAAAATGCCGTACCTAGTGCACATTCGTTTTGGCACTTGCAGCTCCAAAAGGACGCTGGACACGAGATGAGACGAGAGGTTGGATAAATCTTTGATGTTTGGAAAGTTGATACGAGAGAAGCAGCTGGGTGAATGTATCAAATCTGAGCACTTGAGACTTGCTGCGTTTCACCTCGAACTGCACCAGCCTGCAGATACACTTGGCATCACCTCGGTCATAGATTTGGTCAACCACCCATCTCCATTCAGCATCTTTAAGAACGCCTTGCTGAGTCTTATCCCAGCTTGAAATCGAGGAGAACAACTCTGGATTCCCCGCATGGGTCGCCTTGATGTTGACACAGATGAGTGGTATCACACTAGCCTTAATTTGGTCTAAGATGCACAAGATTTCTTCGTTTGCTCTATTATTTATAACCTAGTGATGCTATGTCCTAAAAGTAACCAGCGAAAAATAGGTGTTGTTTGCTGCGCTGTCGATGGCAAGTGAGAAAGCAGCGGCTTCGATTGAAACAGTTCCATATTCATAGGCCGCCGTGAGGATCGATGCAGCAGAGTCAACGACTAATGACTTCAGTCCATATCTACGTGAAATAATGAGAAACTCTCAGTACTTTTGTGCGCGGGTTCGATACCGTTCTCGAAGGAACGAGTACATGCATTGTTCCATAGTATCACTGCTTGAGGATCTGGCCTTCGCGTCGGCCTTTGCCTTGAACGCGCGTATTTGGTCAACAGTTTCGAGGAAAGACTTGAGATTTAGCTTCTTGGACACGCAGAACAAGGGCTGTTGCTGGTAGGGCAACTTGCCTTGATCACTCTCCTCAGTTTGTATGAAGCTTTGTGCTTTATACAGCTGTCGCCGTAATCTAAGCATCTCACCGTGGTGAATGTTTGCTTCCCGTTCAAGCTCGTGCGCAGCTTCCAGTAATTCTGCAGTTTCCGCCTCCGCGTGGTGTGCTCGCTGACATAGGAGGTTTCTGTTAATCTCTGCTGTTTGCAAACGCTCCAGGAAGACCTTCTCACCCTTCTGCACAGCAAGTGTGAAATCTAGAACAAGTCTCGCTTGCGCGGCGCAAAGGTCCTTCAGCGACTCCCCTAAAATGTCCGTTTTTGTCATCATCTCAATCGCCTGGGGATCTCAGGTTTTGACAAATATCTCACATCCAAGCTCTCGCACCCCTTGAAAGCATATGTCAAAGGCACCATGCTCTGCTAGGCAGCTCTCGGCTCGACGCGCCAGAGTTGCTTCTGGGGGCAGAGCTGATATTCGTTCATCCAACCGCGACATAACGAAACCTAGGTTAGCCGAAACAAGCTTGTTAAGGGTCGGCTTTACTTCACTTACGGATATGCGTGTTGAAAATTCGAGTCATCTGTGCATCCTCCGCTAGCGACAGAGTTCGTGTCGCTTTGATGTCACTATAAAGATTCGCCACAGCCCGCAGCTCATCTCTTCCTAACATCGCAGTTAATCCTTTAGAATGAATCCTTTAGAATGAGGCGGGGATGAATAAGATACGGACTTTACTTGGTTTCCGTCCACTTGGCCTTTCGTATCTCCCACTAGCCTGAGCTAAAGGAAGCAAGTAAGATCCTCCCTCAAGGGGAGGTTGAGCTCAGTTTCAATTAAAGATGCCAGAATGAAGGCCGACGGACCGCGCTTGGATGGCGCAGCCACCTCAGCCACACTCCTGCAAGCGCCGAGCTGGGAGAGGACCACCACAACCAGCAGTTTTATTTAGCTGGATGATGATAGGTGGTCTAAACTCACTAACTCGTTACCGGAAACATATTGTACTGCCGTAAATGCAATTCTTGAAATTTGGCAAAGAATGGTAGCGCTGCCAAGACGGCGTTGCCGCCTTTCAGATGCAACAAGACGGCTGGACGGGGCTTGAAACGCTCTCGTGAGGCGCGGGGGCCCGGGGATGCGGGGGGTGTTTTGCAGTGCAGATTTCATCAAAAACGCTGAACTTCAGCGAATTTTGGCGGCGCGCGTCGACGTCGGCCGGGAAAACTCCCTATAGTGGACTTTAGCAACGCGGGACGCTGGGCAAATCTGGGCCCTATTCTGCGAGGTCTTCACCCGACTTCGGATTCGTCTCGGACATTTCAAACTTCCCGCGCGCCCAAGCACGTTCTTGCAGTCGGATTTCTCGCTGAATAGGGCCGAAATCGAGAGGACTCGCGGCCATCTCTACGCTCATGGTATTTGTTTGGATCCCTCGACGTCAAATTTCGATAAAAAAGACCGGTTTTTACTTCGGATTGTCCTGTATCTATGATGGAAGGTTCATTGTATTCGAGTCTGGCGATGACCGTCACACGCGCGGTCGATCTATGATGACCGCTCGCCGAGCAACCCCATATATGGTATGATATCATGTTGAACTTGCGGCCAAATCTCTTGTGCGCGATCGGTTCGTGCAGGTGTGAATCGAGCTCTCTGTATCAATCGCCAGAGGCCTTGTCAGCATGGATTCGCTTGTCCCGGGGAAAGATGGTTTATCTAATGGCTGTGACGCGATGGCTTCTCGACTCACGGTATGCCGCATCAACATCAATTCTGAATGCAGCAAATAATATCCATTGCAAGTCTCAAACCGGAGAAACCAGGCTTGGACATTTGCGAGATAAATTTTTCATGCTACATGCGAGGCAATATGCTTACTCGACACGAGCCATAAGCATTACTCATGTCTGCATATTTGTAGAACGCCGTTCTTCACTTCCCAATTATGCGAGAATTTCATTCTGCGAGCCGACGCTCAATATCATCAATGCAAAGATGCGGCGCCATGTGAGGCGTTCGCTAATCGAGGCGCTGCCGGAGTCTGGCGTAATTTTGACGACAGAGTTGAGTGGCGCTACAGCGTGTATCAGCTCGGTGCGCGAATTCATCGTTATTGCGACTCTGGCATCTGACTTTCGATGGAAGCTCGACCTGGCGCGTTGTTGGCCTGGAGATTACTTAGCCCCTTTCCAGTTGGTATATCATAGCCTCACCCAGATATCGCTGATGCATCTGACAGACCTAGTTTCTCAGACAATTCGCACGCGTGCGTTGGTTGTATGTTATAACTTAATATCAGACCTTGCAAACTTACGTGGTGGTGTAATGACCGCCGATCTTTTCAATGGGATGATCATACTTAGGGCCTGGCCAAAGCTGCGCGGGCGCCCAAGTCACGTCTGGAGAGTCCTGGTTGTTGCTGACACGCGTCTCGATTGTGGCTCAACTATTTATGCCATGGTGATGACATCGTCACGGATGCCTGCCTCTCCACTCGTGTTATCTGATGTCGCAGTTTGTTGTCTTGAAGTGAGCAGGAGAACTTTGCTTCTAGAGGCCTTTGATGTTGCAACCAAACTTGCTATTAGGAGAGTCATGTCGCATGCCAAGTCTTTGCTTCGGATGAGCAGTGCGAAGTGGGAAGATGTCGCCTTGACACAGTACGGCGAAGATTTGACATGTTGCTTGGTGTTAGTTTCCTCTCACGACACATTCATAGCTGGCTGCCTCGGACTTCATGGTGATTGGGGTGTGTGCAGAAGCGCATGTGATGTATTTCCTGCCTGCATCAAATTTGAACATCAGCGCGCGTCGTTCATCCGAACCCACGACGCGCAATTCTTGGCTTGTGGGGATGCACATTCTGCACTCGAAGAAGGGGGGGTGACACCGGCCTCAAACTCAGCCCAGCAGGCCCAGGAGCGTCGCCAAATCGCTGTATGGGCTGATGTGAGCGTCCTGAGCGCGTAAGTGGGTTTGTGGGGGCGTCTGCCGACGCGGTCGGAGCGCTCGGAGGCGTCCAAAATCGACAAAGTCGATCAAATGCAAGCATTTCATTGGTCGGACTCGAATCCGCCGGCATCTTGCCGTTGTTGATACGTCGTGCGGCTGGCAGGCCTTGAAATCACAACGCCACTGACAAACTTTCTGAAGACGACGCGGAGTCTTGCCACAACGACGTATCACCACGGCAAGCCAGCAGCCCGGAGCGCCTCGAAGGGCAGCCCGGCTCGTCGCGCGTGGTCATGGAGCGCGACGCCTGGAGCCAGGGTGGCAGCGGTGGACACGTCGTACCCATGGGTGACTCCAGAGGCGCTCTGCTTGCGAGAATTGGCTGTGTCGTCGAACGCTCGGGCGCCGGAGCGGCGATTCCCAGTGGCGGCACAGCTTCGAACGCCTCTGTGGCGGCCCCGGCGTGGCGCCACGTGCGGCCGATCGGCAAGTACAACGCTCTAGTACGTCGGCGAATGCAGCGCTGCGCCTTGGGCCGCGCTGTGATCGGAACCATTCGTGCGGCGGCCTCGAACGACTCGCATGGACCAGATCCGACGGACCCATGGACCAGATCCGACGCGAGAAGGCGACCCCCGAGGTCGAGATGCGCCTCCCAGATCGATTCGAGCGCGCACAGCCCACTGCCCGCAGCGACTGCCCGCGCGCGGTCACCATCGCCACCTGGACGTCCTCCGAGTCCTATCTCCCCGGCCCTTTTCCCACGCGCGAGGGCTCGGGTAAGGAACGCCCTCGTCAATTTGGCGGGGGTAAGGCTTCCGTGCTCGCGCGCTTGGACGGCGTCGCGGTCTGGTGTCGCCCCCCGTCTCGAAGGAACAGAGCACAAATTCAGCTGCCACCCAAAGACGGGTTTCTCTGGAGGAGCGGGTCCGGAGCAGTAACATAACCACCGCTTCAACTTGGGCTTCATCTCACACCCTGCACTTCAACAGGTACCTCAACACCGCCGCTTGCCTTCAAAGGGGACCTCAACACCGCCCGGCCGCTCACGCCCTGCGGGGGGCCTCCGAGGCGCCGCCCACGCCTTAGCCAAAGCCACGTGCCAGAACCCCTCCAGAAACCCTTCGCGGACCCGAAATTGCATTTACGGCAGTCCAGTATGTTCCCGGTAACGAGTTAGTGAGTTTAGACCACCTACCACCATATACATCCAGCCGTGAAACCTACTACTGGACTGGAGGGTATTTGGGCAAGTTCGGGTAGCTTCCTAGTAAGTGCGCCCTAGCCCTCAGTCTGCTGCCAACAACTAGAGACTGGTTTACTGCGCTCGCCACACGTACAGCCGCTACGTACAGCCACGGATGTGCGTCTACGGGGCGCTGCTTTTCTGCGGGTGCTGTTCCCAGCGCGCACGTAGAAAATGCTCAAAGGCCAGCCCATCAAACTCCCTGGGGCCCTGGCAAATAATCGCCGATTGTGCAATGTCACATTTTTCACAATCATCAGTTTTAGCTTTTAATTGATTGGTGTTGTGTATGTAAGCTGTTTCCAAGAGCTGCCGTGGCGAGCTCGCCTTCTCTACAATGGATTTCCAGGATGTGCTCGTTCCGTTTTGTGAGTCTTCATCACTAAAGTCATCATCGCTGTCTGCAAATGAATCCGAATCTGTGTGACACTTACCCGCGGAGGACACGACCCACAGACTTTGGAATACGCCAGGGCGAAGTGAGTGTGCCACCCTGTAATGACCCAGTTCCGAGAATCTGTGAACAGAAATGGTATTCGAAAATCGGACAGAAGACGCGGAAATTAGCACGTGAAACCAAATTTGGTACCCGGCTTGAGCTCCTGGCTTGTGAAATTACCCAAACAAGAAACGCGGGGAAATGGTGGTGCCAGTACGGCGAGGTCAGGCCTCCACTCGATGCGCTGACCTATTACGATCTCAAGTCGCTTCGGCGCTATGCTTGAAACTGCGACCGTTGCAATCTGAGTATTCTCTTGCGTCGGAGCGCTGCGACCGTGAAACGGCGGGATCATGGCTTCTAGTGCACGGCATGCACATCACGTGGGGAATAGTGCATCTAAGTATCATGCACAGTGAAAAACCATTACCTCAGCAGGGACGAAGAGGGCAGCGCAGGGCGGGTGCTTCACTTCCAATCGTCGGAACGCAACTTTAACCTCCAAGTGAACCTAGCAGACTAGTAGAAGTTTACTTTCGAAAAGTGGCTGGGTCGAAAAGTGGTCGACTAACTAATTATTACCATACCCTAGTCAGGAGTCAGGCCGAGGGGAAACTACCTCCGTATTTTGGTCCCAGCTACCGGAAACTGGGGTCCTCAGAGTCCGCCCAGTCAGAGCCAACCGTATCCTCCTCCTCCTTAACCTAGCCTATAAGGCTCCGGCTCTGCGGAGGGTCCCCCAGTAGCGTGGCTTCCGTAGGAACCACCCGTAGTGACGCGTTCTAAGACGAGTCCGACGCGTTGGATGGGAATCCGATGTCCAATCCGACCACTCGATGATCGCGTTCCGCGCGGCGGCCGCGCGTCGCTCCTCGCGCGCCACGGTCGCGAACGCGATGGTGTACGCGAGCACGGAATGGATCGACACGCGAGCAGCAAGGCTCAGCAGGCGCGAACGGCGGCTCATCAGACTCCAAGACGAGCTCGGAGTCGATGCCACAGGCCGGGCTGGCACGCACGCCTGCAGCCAGCTGCAGGGCGTGCAGGAGTCCACGAACACGGAGCCGGACGAGGGCGCGCAGGGCCACGAGGACGCGAGGGACCGCCGCCAGCGGACAGAGCTCCGGAGCACCGGGGGAGCTCGCGGACCCGTCGACTGCGCCGCGGCGACGACGGACCGGCAGCGCGGCCGGCGGCCCCACCGGATCATGATCGACAGCGGCGCACCGGGACACAACACACTGGCACCGTGGGCGAAGGGCGCGTACCGGGCGCCAAACGGCACATGCACAAAATGACGCCGCGCGAGAGTCACGAGAACCGCGCAGAGAACACCATCAAACTCGTCAAGGAGGGCATCCGCGCGAATCTGCTGGCGGCCGGCGCGCCCGAGTCTCTGTGGCCATACGCAATGGTGACGTTCTGCGCCGGCAACCAAGCGCGGGTCCGCGCCGGAAGCGGCGTGAGTCCGCACTTCTGCCTGACGAAGCGAGATCCCGACATCTCGGGACTGACGACGTTCGGGTCGATCGTGTACGCGTTTGACCCGACGCGGCCGAACTCGAGCTTTCGACCGCGCGGCGTGCCGGTCCCGTACATCGGCCCGGCGCCGGCGCACGGCATTGGCGCAGTCAACGTGCAT